TTTTTTTTTTTTTTTTTTTTTTGGAGTTATTAATAGAGAAAAGTGAAAAAGCAATATGTGTACTTTATATAACTCGGTACAATGGCATTGAATAAATAATATTGTAGATTGAATATTTGATAAGAAAATGATAGAAAACTTTTGCTTAGAATTACCATATAATTTATGAGAATAATTTAGAAATAATATGAATATGTTATTTTATGGGGTCGATCGTGTCGACAATACCAAGCGGATACAAATTCAAGCTGACTCTGACTTTTCTCTTGATAAATTTTACGGAAAGTTGCCACTTATAATTTGCGAGTACAATATCGTAAAACGTCTACTATTCGAGCATGATATATACAATACGTATATATCTATACTATTTCTTCTCGGTACGTCCATCGAGTCCTCTAATAAGTTCACCGTGTACTACGGTGAGCCGGCTATAATTCACACGAGTGAAAGCTAATGATTCGGTTTGAAGGAGAAAGTCGGTTAACCGAGCGAGAACAAATGCGAGAGATGAGGATGAGGATGAGAATCAAGATGATTATGATGATGATGATGATGATGATGATGATGATGCTGGACCGATACCACCAACAACATTTGGTATTTATCTTCTTTCTTTTCTTTTGTTAGTCAGTAGAGAAAGAAAAGCTCGTTAAAAAAAAATCTTGTCCTGTATGAGTCATACCCTCTGATCGAAAGATCGAAATCGTTCGCTTTCGCGCGTGAACACGTTCTTATTACGAAATAACTATCTTTCTCTCTCTGTCTCTCTGTATCTTTCTTTCTTCCTCTATCATTTGTGAGTTTCCATTTGTGACAGTAAGAAACACCAAACGGATTACATCTTTACGAAGGGGTCCCCAGTCTCCGACGAGACTTTAATCGTACCCGATCGATACACGGATAACCGATTGAAGAAACGACGAACCATGTATGTATGTATGTAGTTGAACACCTTCAAGGACCACCCACGTTACCAGGCCTCACATCGTAAGAATTTTCTCTTCGTTCGGCACCGAGGTTCAAGCAGAACGACGTTTACGATATTCCGAAGCCTAATTGGATCGTCCAACTGGTAACTTCCAAGTGGATAATAAAGACGATGGGTGTGTCTCGATGTTTATCTTTGACATGATTTTTTAATCTTTCTTTTCTTTTTCCTTTTTTGTTCATACGTCTATACTTACAATATAATAATACGATCAAAATAATTCTTATTTTAACTATCCGATCTATAAATAACCAAATAATAAATCAATCCTTTTGATGGATATCGGAAATGAACAGAACATAAATATATAAGCGTGTATCTAAAATAAGTTATTCAATATAATAAGCAAGTATACACTTGTAACACAAAGAACGTATATCTTCTTATTACCACCGTAAAACTCCTTTTGTAACTTTCCATATATACGATTTGACGTTTTTCATCGAAACATATACAGTTTTGCTAAGTTTATTACACGTTTTACTGTCCATCGTAAGGCATCGCTACGATTACTAACGAAAGTATTGGTAAATAACGTATCGATCCTGTTATTCGTTCAAACCATCCTACGTTTATTTCCAATATGTAGTATTATATATACTATGTATATCTATATACATATATAAATAAATGTAATACATGCATTCCATGTGTAATACGAATGCACATATGATAGTAACGTATACACGTCCATTTATTGAACTTTATATATACACTTTTATTATTCTTTTTTTTCCTCTCTCTCTCTCTCTTTTTTATATGAACTACGTAGTCACCGGAAATTATATTTCACGGTGCATCGATATCGACAACGGTGAAAAAAAAAAGGAAAAAAAAAAAAAAAAAAAAAAAAAAAAAAAAAAAGAAAAAAAAAAGAGAGGAAAATAAAATGGACAGTGGATGATATTGCCGTAAAACGCACGATCCGAACCAAGTTTTCGATACCTTCGTTCCCCCGGTGTATTTCTATGAATCGGATATGTGCTGGAAAAATTACTTTGTCCGACGTAAAAATTTTGTCGCAATGCACTCTCTCTCTACGCTCTTTTCCATCCATAGTTTTTTTTTTCCAAACAGAGAGAAAAAAGTAAAAGAGAGAGAGAGAGAAAAAGAATTGCAACCATCCATATCGTATTCGGGAATTGCATCGATCTCTTTGAATACCTTTTATATTTCGTTAGACATATATTTACATACACATAAGCGTACGGGAACGCATGTATCTGCTGTACAACGTAAAATCGTAAAAAAATTGTCAGTAATTTAATACATCGGAGAAAAAAGAATACGAGTAACCAGAAAGGTACTGGCTTGAATTTACTACGTTAAAAATATTATTTACAACAGATACGATTTCGTTCAAATACATTATTAGAATATGTGTTTTTGAGATTATTTCTCTTTTCTAAATAGAAAAATAATGAAATTGAATCATTTCTAAAATAAATTGAAAAATCAGCGTAACTTTTAATTAATTCGACAATTTATTGTAAAATTCATAGGAAGACGATTCTGAGCAACCTTGACCCAACTAAAACTCGTAAATTTTACATAAGCTATTTAAATTTCGCATGTTTAAACGAGATTCCTAAATATATATATATATATATATAGTAACAGTTTTCCTTATACAAACGATGCAAAGTAGCACGTTCTCGGTGGCAAAAGTGCCTTATTAAATCTGCTTATAAGAAAGAACACGTTTGCGGTAAAGGTAATAAGAACACTGAGATAACCTCGTAGAACATTTTAACGTAGTCACGATGGTACCTAAAGGGACGTTCATTTTCTGCGTGCTTCGTGCAAACATACCACCGCTAGTGTACTACTCTGGTACTATGAGCCAGAATGAAATGCATAACCTCGAGTTACGTACTTGAAACGTGCGAAGATTTCGTGCCGAGCTAATGTGCCTCGTTCCAAAACGTGTAGTAGGTGAATTACCTGAAATTAGAAAAACACATACGAACGTCAGTTTAATTATTTCTATCAAATTGTCTTCAAATTAATCGATTATTTCGATTCAATATATTTATACGTAACATATAAATATATTCTTTTTATTAGAAAAACAAACAATAATGTGTGCAATTTTGCAACACTTTTTTTTTATAATACTCAACCAAGAAAAGAAAAAAAAAAAAGAGAGAATGTCTGGATTTAAAACAGAGTACTAGTGCAAACTTAAATTAAAAATAAAACGATGATTAAAATATCGATAGATAGTTTGATTTCTTAGAAATCGGACAAACAAAATATAAAAAAGAAAAAATAAACACAAGGCGAGTAAAAAAGCAATCGTAATGGCAAATAAAAAAAGAAAAAAAAAAAAAGAAAAAATAGGATCGGTCGATGCTATGGGATCGTCATTCGTGCGGATCGAATTAAAGGGAACATAAAGCAGCATGCGTTCGTCTCTCTAAGCGAGTCATTCTCTTTCTCTCTATGAACAAGCCTTTCTAAACCGTCTTGATTCATCGTGGAAGCGGTCGAGAATAGTCGAAGAGAAGAGGGCCGTTTGCGAGTGCCAAGAAGACCGCCTGCGCCAGTTGCTAGCAAGCAAGCAAGCAAGCAAGCACCAATAACACCAAGTTAATGATGTTTGCTTGACGGATTTATGAGGGCACTGCATGCGGCGCACGTCGGCTAAAAGGAGTCATTGGACGAGTGCGCGAGCGCACACACAAATACATATACACATCACATCACATCACATCAAATCAGATCACACACACATATACATATTAGTATATACCCCAAGAGAGAGAGACTAATGTAAGATAAGAGAAGGAGAGTAGTAAAGTACGATCCTAGCTAAGCCTCTTCGATCCTATCGCAAAGAGGAAAATGCATTTAGTATAGTGGTTATATAGTAAAAAGCATCGTTGAAACGGAAACTTTGCTATTCAAGTTAGCCCCGTTAGAAAACGAACGGAGAAAGTACGAAGATCGATGTGCTTACAACGAGCCTTACGACTAGAACTAAGATAGAAACGATGGATAGTTCTGTTCCTTCTGTCTTTCGCTAATTACGCGTAATTTCTTGGAATCCATGAGATTTCTCGTTTCGCGAAAGCGTTTGCTTACTTACTTACATTAGTCGCTTTCTTTCTTTCTTTCTAGGTTCTTCTTTTTTTTCTGAAATTTTTTTTTTCTTATTTACACCATAAATATATATGCAATATTGTAATATCTCTATCTTTACGCATTAACGTGGTCATAGTCGTCGTTTATTTATCGGAGAATCATCATTAATTATAACGTCGGTAGTAGTATCTCATGAGTTAGTAATCATTTTATTTTCTAATTTCTGGCATGACGTGTATATAAGTGGATTTTTGTGTTGAAAAAAAAATAGAGAGAAAAGGAGGATCGATCAGTCGTTGGAGTTTTGAGATCGATTAATGTATATACATTTTATGTTTATGATAAGCATATACGTTGAACGATTAGTGTTATCTAAACGACATGAAATAAAGGATTTAGAAATAAATGAGAAAAAGAGAACAAAAATGAAATGGAATACGTGGAATACGTGGAAAGATCGTAGATCTAGCAGGGTTATTGAACTTGAGATTAAAAGAATAAAAAAATACAAAATAAAAGTCATAAAATACGCGTGGGAGGGTAAAAATAAACTTGCAATTTTTGATCTTACAGGAAGATAGGTAAAAAAAAAAAAGAAACCAAAAAAAATGGAGTCTTTACAAAGAACCATACTTTGAATAAAACCAAACTCGGAAAAAAAGAATTAATTTGAAAGGAAAAAAGAGTGTCAAAATAATAAATACACAGTAAGTAAGATAAAATGGTGTTGTTATTGCGTTAAAATCAGCGCATCTCGACAAAACACGTTACTAACATATAAAAGGGTTGGGGGACTTTTTATGCTCGACATTAAAAGTAAACGAGTGCGGGCAACAATGGTCTTATCGAATAGGCTCGAGAGGTCTAATCTCGTTCTGCCAATCGCTTATGTTAGAGGGAACCGCTGCACACAACGGTCGCAACGATAAACAGAGTGGAACGCAAATCGCCGTGCTCGTTAGCATAACTCCCGATCGTCCTTTTCCAACTCCAACCCCTCCCCTTCTCCTCTTTTCCTTCTTCACCAACCTTTTCTCTCTTTCTAAGTTTGCTTCTTTTTCTCTTTCTTTCTTGATATTTCTTTTTTCTCTCTTATGGGTTACCGGAACTAGCTCCGTCCTCTGTACCGTATATAGAATATAATACTGACTTACTAACTATACTTCTCTATACTATGCTTTGCTTAGACACTGATTAGTAACTTCGATCTTTCACGGACTACCGCGTACGCTTTCCTTCGACTATGAAAGATATCATTGTCTCATTTTAACGCCCACTTTAAGGTAACTTCGATAAACCCCCACTCCCAACCCCAACCCCAACCCCAGCCCAATTACTACGACGAACGTAGACGTAATAAACTTTTATGAAATATTTATATACGTTATTTCCTACAAATGGTTATGAATGATTCGTTCAAGAATGTTCAGACATTCTATGATTTTTCAAATGATATTTAATTGTACGAGAGATAAGACGTATATAATATATTAATAAATCTTACTATATTCTAATTAATAGTTCGAGGAAATATGTTTAATGAATTGAACAATCGTCGAACTAATGACCAAGAATTTTAAAAATATAATCAAGATTACGTATTAACGGTTTACGATGCCTGTCGTCGTCAATGAATAGAAATTTTGTAGAACTATACAAAAATATAAAAAAAATTTTCAAATGTAAGAAAAATAAAATGTACATAATTATTAAATGTTTCCAATTGAGGATAACGATAATCTCGAAATAAATTGAACTATCCTAATTGAAAACTCGAGAGATATGTTTTATATACCGAGAAATCATCGAACTAAAGATCAAAAGTAAAAAAAAAAAAGAAAGGAAAAGAAAAAACTCTTTAAGATTACATATTATCATTTTATGATGTCTATCATCTTTAGTCAACGAGAAAGTACGAGACATAGAGAGATACTTAACGACCGTAGACTTGAAAACGCGTTAGCCCCTGAGGAACCATTTTGTCTCGACTAGTTTCGTCTCGAGGCGACTTTTACACGTCGATGGAGTGAGAAGAAGGATGAGGGTTAATATAACACGAGAGACAGAGATAAAGAGAGAGAGAGAAAGAGAATATAAGACGACGGTGATGGTAATTGATGCTTTGTAGGATAATGCTCGAATAGCGTACACCTTTTTATCTCAATTTTTCTAATAGAACCAAATTATGCAGAAATCTACCGACCATAAGAATGCACAAAAAAATTATTTAAACACTATACAAAGCCCATAATTTTGTCATCGTCTTTACTCATCGTTTAGAAGAATTATATTATATCATATATATATAATTTGATTTATTTATAATTATTTAAAAATTGTACAATCATTTTGATAATTAACATTATCAAAACCATAATTCTATTTTCATCTTATTAATTAAAAATATATATAATAATATTAATTATATATTATATTCGTTATTAAACGAGATGAATTATAAAGAATTTGAAAGGAACGATAAATAAAATACACAATCAAATACTTAATAAAAAATACAATTATTTTAATATGCTAAAAAATTTGCAAATTATTATACATTAACTCTATTTTAAAATCGTTCACAGGATTTCTACATAATTTGGCTCAATCGATCCTCTTACTTTCTTTGTATAAAATATCAACGTTAACAACCGACACTTTGATCATTACGATCGGCAAAAGTTATTAGATTCTGAATGATCCAACACAAGTACACGGATGCTTGGTAAGAAAAAATCGAGATGACTGATGAGACATAGAATGAAAGAGAAAGAGAAAGAGAAAGAAAGAGACAAGTCAAAGAAGAAAGGACAAAATCGTTGGCGAGCTTCGTGAGCCAAGGTAATTTATTTAATGATAACACATTTAGCAATAATACGAGAAGAGGCGTTCGAGCGCACGCATATCCGTGATACCTTTCATGTGAGTGGTTACATGTATGAGTGGCTTGGATACTGAGCACTTATCCAAGGTGAACAAATTATCCGAGAGCACGATGGTGAACGCCAGCCAAGATATCAGAAGACACAACGACGCGAAAGATTACGCGAGAAATGTCCGACACCTGGACATTCAAGTTCTAAACCAACAACAAGTAGGGGAAACTGGATACGTTGAAAACATTAAGCGATAAAAAAAGAAAGTGAGAGCAAAAGTGGTTTCTATTTGCTACTGCTTCGTGATATTCCCATACAACTTATAGTTACCTATTGATTTTCCACAAGTTTAACTCGTTACGAATGTTAATATGAGAGAGAAAAGATAGAAAGAGAGAGAGAGAGAGAGAGAAAGAGAGAGAAAGCTAAATTTACATTAGAATGATCAACGATATAAATGAACTCTCTCTCTAAAACGTTATGTCATTTTGAAATAAGAATAGAACTAATTCGAACGTTAACTTTGTATTCGAAAATAATTATTTCTTCTTTTTAAATATAAAAATAATAATTTGTTATTTATTATAATAAAAAATGATACGGAGTTGATTTAATCATTTCTAGGATTGAAATTTTACGATCTAAAATAAGAATTAATCTACAAAGTAAATTATTCTACGATACGATGGAAGATTATTCCTATTCCAAGAGTTCGATGAAAAATATTAAAAAAGACTTTAGAAAATTTATGGAGAATCTCATTACGAAGATAGAAAGATATAGAAAGATGGAAAGAAAGAGAAAGAGAAGGAGAAAGAGAGAAAGAGAGATCGTTCAGGTAGCATAGCGTTTAACAAAACAAAACAAAATAAGATAAAATAAAATTAAAAAGGTATCCCTCTCGTCGTCGAAGAAATTCAAACCGGCCCCCGGTGAGCAATTTGCTCACCTTGAAGTTGCCAGTGAATCACCTTGCACTTC